TTAAATTTATGATAGCACATTAGTTTACCCAACTGTCACAACTTCTCAATGTGTGATCTTCAGTATCCAGAATTCCTTAGCCAAGCATGGCCATTGTAGAGGATTCTGAGAGTTGAAGTCTATGCACTTGAAAGCTGGCAAGCGTGCAAAATGTTATGTCCTTTCCAAAGACATTTGGGTTTCTGCTGCAGTTTTTATTACAATTGCTTGTCTTCGTTATATTGCAAATGTTTGTGCATTTCATATGTTAGTATTTCATTTCTATTGTATAAAAAATAAGCCTCCCTCAAATCAAGCTTGGCTCTATAAACTGTAACAAAAATAACTCCAACATTTCACATTATCTTTGATTAAATAAAAGAAAACATGTTGTATTATTTTAAAGAATAGGTCCCTTCGGCATACCAATGAAAAGTCATCTTATTTTCTTTGTTGTTGACAACAGTAAAAATAATCTGCTAATGAATAATCTATTGTTTCCACATCCTTATAAATTTAGCGTTAATACCACCAAGTAGGGAACAATTCATAAGATAGTGATTCATATCTTCAATCTGAATCTGAATTTAGAATAGCATCATCCATTACAATGGAAAATATCAGCTGAAAATGTTACAATGGAAAATATCAGCTGAAAATGTAAGTTTTAAATGAAATCATTTGTTTTGGAAGATTGTCCAAGTGTAGTACTTTATTATGAACCTCTTTAAAACAGGACAGGAGTCAGGAGTGCAATACTTAAGGATATCAGGGTGCCTACTGGAATATTCCCATCCTATTAAAGTAAGATGCTAAAACTTGCAAGATCTCAAAAGCCTATATGATTTTGGTAGTATTGCATGAAACTGCATGAGGTTTCATATATGATTATGAAATATTTGTGAAATTCTACTTGAGAATGCCTAAATCTTTCAGCCATGTAATCTTGTCTGTCAGGTCCTTACCAAGATCACATGACACCCAGAGCCAAACTTTAAATAAAGAAACATTTTACATTTTTTGAAGTTTGTCTAATTTTAATGGTTTAGAAAGACTTCCAAGAAATTAACTCCTGAATGATCTTTTGCTCATGTGCTACAGTTTATTTGATTCCTTCATCACACAAATCTTTAAAAACCTCTGATAAATTGAGGCTGTTTATGTGCTGGTCTAATACAATTAAATACAATCTCTTCTGACATTATTTTGTTGAACTTTAGCAAGCAACAATAAATAATTGCAGTAATAGAAGAGTAGTACATAACAGAACTGTTGCGAATCCAAAGGGAGGGAAAAAAACATTGATTTAAAAATTTTAGAATCTGTCTATATCCAGTCCAAAACTCTTTACAGATTCCAGAGGGCCATCTTTTGTCCAAGAACTAAACCAATTGCTAGTTTTCTATTAGTTGGTTGATATTTTAAATTCTAATTGCATTTGGGGAAAAATTAGGTAATCTAGCTTGTAGTAGCAGTAGGCTGCAAAATGGTTAAAATCTTTTCTCTCTCTCCTGTTTTATTTTTTACTGCCAGAAATATGAAGTTTATAAAAACATAGCATTTGGTGAATATAACAGATATATAGGATGGAAAAATCTTGAATGGATAAGAACGAAAACTGTTCAAGAAGTTAATGAGATAAAAGCTTTTGTAGCATCAGTTCAGAGCAAAAGCAGGGATGTGGAAGCAAATCTTTCATCTCCTTAGGACATGGCAGTCTTTTTAGCTTCCCCAAGAGTGAGAGTAGACAGCCATTTCATCGCTCTTGAACATCTTTCCGAAGTAACCCATCAGGCATGGGGAAATCTATAAGGAAACTAACCAGGCTGTGCAGCTCGTCTTTTATTCTTCATAGGCAATCAATTTTAAAGCTTTCATTTCCAAACTTTACAGTGCATGATTCATATTTAATAAACAGGGCAATAATGAGATTAAAACATCATTGGTTTCTGTAGAGAAGGGATCAGTGAGTTATGAGCTTGGCGTCTGCTCGGTAAAAGTCTGCAGGCAATCTATAATCATGATTTGCAACAAGATTAGATGCTCTTTCTGTTTCATTTCTTGTCATTCGTGTATCACTAGGACAGCTTGGGTCTAGCTTTTAACTTGCCTATTTATTCTGTCTGAGAGAGGCAGAGAGAAAGAGGGCAGGAGGGAGAAAGAACGCACAACTGTCAAGATTTATCCATGTTCCTGTTCTATTTCAGCTGGTATAGTTAGACAAGGGACAAATCAAGCAGAAAAGAAAGAGACTAGTGACTTTTCCCAAGGTCATTTAGACATCCTGCTAAGCACACTTCTTTGGAACTAGAAATTAACAGCAGTAACATTTTACCAAGATGCCAAAATGAAAAAGCCCAAGATGAAAAAGCCATTATCATTATTATTATTTTGGCAATTGATCTAAAACCATGTCCAAGCTGGAACCCTTAGGATAAATTGAATGAATTAAAGAGAATTAAACATACCAATGAAGGCTTGTTCATTCAGTAGATAATTATATTTAGGATAGCTTTACGGGTCTCAAGTAGCCTTCTGTTGACAAATAGCTGCTGCGGGAGCAAGAGCATCAGAAAGTTATTGCATCTATGGTGGAAAGATTTGGTATGACCCACAGTGGATGAATGATTGGTGAAAATGATGGAACTTAGATGGTGGAATTGATTTCTTTTATCAGATAGAAGACAATAGCTACATTTTTTGCTGACTAGAAATCCCTTGTGGATTTTTTGCATGAAACAGAAAAAAATGAGCTATGATTGTGGTTTTTATGATTAGACAGGAGAGATTATAGAAAGCAGAGAGTTATATTGAAACCATAAAGTAAAAGGTAAATCTATAAATGTAGTTGCAACTAATAGAAAGATCAGAAGCTACTTCTTTGTGTCTTTTTTCTTTCTCTTTTACTTTTCTCTTTTACTTTTCTCTCTGCATTTTTAGCTTTGTCTTTGATTTATTTCTTTTTGTTTTCTTCTTCTTGCTTCTTCTTACTTTATATTAGTTTTTATTAAATTATTTAAAAATATGTATGTTTGTGTGTGTGTCTGTGTGTGTGTGTGTGTGTGTGTGTGTGTGAGAGAGAGAGAGAGAGAGAGAAAATGTCTGGGTTACTTCCTTTATATCTATTTGAGAGGCTTCTCAGAAGTAACTGCTGGACCATTGTGAAGAACAGGATAGTTTATCTTTTAGTTTTATATGTGAACTTGGGAATTATGGTTTATTCAAAATCAGGGTTAAATAACCCAGATTAGTATTATGCAGCAGCTCATTCGCTTTTTATGTTCACACTGAAGATACATGGGCTCAGGCCAGTGGTGGGATTCAAATATGTGAACAACCGGTTCTCTGTGTGATGCTGTTTCTGGAAGTCCATTCTGGGCCTGGCCAACAAAATACTAGCTACCGGTTCTGCCAAAGTTGTGCAAACTGGCTGAATCCCACCACTGACTCAGGCCCCTACTCTTCTATGGAGAATATGGTTGTATTGTGGTTATACATTTTCATTTCTTTCTTTTTTTCCTCTAGATCATCAAAATTATGGGATGAGATTTAGCCTGGATGCCTGCCGTAGTATCTTGGCCCTCTTAGATGTATCCTCCTTTTGGTTTTTAGCCATGTCACATATTTTGCTAGCTTGACTGAAGAATGCAATTCTTGCCCTTTTCAGTAATAATTACTTAATATCTATTTATATGTTTACAGTTCTTCTGAACTCAGAGGGAAAAAAGACAAAAAAAGAGAGTGGAAAGGGGCGTTGTCTTACCTGAACGCCTTTTCTCAGCATGATGATGGAGAATCCACGGATGGGTTGTCTTAATCTATCTGCTCCAATTAGACTAAGTCTGAAATTTAGTACCGCCCCCTCTGTGCCAACTGCACCCCAGTTTTAGGCTAAGGCGATACCCAGACTTTAGTCCGACGCGTCTGAACAAATGGGGACCAGGCCAACTGACCTAATGGGAGGGAGTGGATTCTCCATCATCATGCTGAGAAAAGGCGTTCAGGTAAGACAACGCCCCTTTCTCCAGCATGATTGGATGGAGAACCCACGGATGGGACATACCAAAGCCCTGTGTCCCTAGGGTGGGGAATTAGATTGGGCCTGGTTCCCACCCAATGTTAATGCGTGTTCTAGGACCCTGCGTCCAAATGAAGCCGTAGAAGATGCATATATATCCCTCTTGTAGTGACAGACAAAGGAAGAGGGCGATGCCCATGTTGCTGCTCTACAAATTCCCTCTACGGAGGCCTGAGTAGACGAGGCAGCTGTAGTAGCTGCCCCCCGGTGGAATGGGCCGTGATATGCCTGGGATCTCGCAGTGACTGAGACTGGTATGCCAGAGAAATACAAACTCTAATCCACCTGCGTATTGTGGTTGAAGAAACCTTCTGACCTAGTGATGAAGGGTGATAGTACACAAACAGAGCCTCTGTTCTGTGGAAAGATGAGGTTCTCTGTATATAACAATATAAGCCCTGCGCACATCCGATTTGTTCCACTGAACCTCTATCTCATTAGATGGGTTAGGACAGAAGTCCGGCAAAACTATTTCCTGAGATTTAGGATACAAGGACTTGACCTTAGGCACGAAGGAGGGGCCTAGCCTAAGGGTTACCCTGTCCTTATGGAATGTACACAGGTCCTTCCTCACTGAAGAGTAGCCAGTTCAGATATCCTTCTCGCTGAAGTTACAGCAACAAGAAATGCCACCTTCATCGATAACTGTTTAAACAAACCAGTGTCAATAGTTCAAAGGGTGCGAAACAAGAACCTATAAACCTGATGAAGATCCCACGAGGGGTATCTATGTACAGTTGATGGTCTGACGTTGTTAGCTCCTTTTAGGAAGGAGCGTATCATAGGGTAATGTGTTAAGGATTCATTGCCACAGGAAATAACTGTGGCAAGTGATGCTACCTGCCTACGGATGGTGCTTGTGGAAAGCCCTTTGTCTAGACCATCCCTCAGGAACTCCAAGATAACTGGCATTGAAACCGCCAAAAGGTCAATTTTTCGAACTGAACACCAATTACAGGAGTCTCTCCATGTGGCATCGTATATTCTATTCGTCGAGGGTCACCTAGATTGCTGAATCATAGCTATGACCCTTGACGAATATGAGTCTCAGCCTAAGGCCTGCCTCTCAAGTGCCAGACGGTTAACTGGAGTCATTGAGGGTCTGGATGGCGTAGTTCCCCCTGAATGTGGGAGATGCGATTTGCTGGGATCCTCCATGGAGGTGATATGGAGAGCTCCATCAGGTCGGCGACCAAGAGCGTCTCGGCCAATGCGGCGCAACCAGGAGGACCTCTGCTCGTTCGCGAAGGATCTTCCTGATCGTGGCAGGAAGAAACGGCAGAGGAGGGAAGGCACAGAGCAGTTCCCTGGGCCAGGGACTGCGGAGTGCATCTGTTCCCTCTGCTGATGGAGGTGGGAACCCAGAAAGGAATCTGGGAAGTTGTGAGTTGGTGGGGGAGGCAAAAGGTCTAAGGTTGGGGAACCAAACCTGTCCACGATCTCTCTGAACACCTTCGGATCCAGCTGCCATTCAGAATGATCCACGGTTGCTCTGCTCAGTGAGTCCGCCTGCTGGTTGGTCACTCCGGATATGTACTCCGCCCTGATGGAGGGAAGATTCAGTTCTGCCCAGGACCCCAGCAATTTGGCCTCCTGCATGAGAGGCCTGGACCTTGTCCCCCCTTGTCTGTTGACATGGCCTTGGCTGTAATGTTGTCGGTTAAAATCAGGACATGTTGGCCCTGTACTATATCGGTGAATCTCTTTAGGGCCATATGTATGGCTCTGAGTTCCAGCCAGTCTATATTGTTCCTTAGGTCCTGTTTGGACCACCGACCTTGAGCCCAGTGCGTGTGAAGGTGTGCCCCCACCCAAACAGGCTTGCATCTGTGGTAATGGTAATCCTGTCTGGTTCTAATACTGCTCCCCGTGACAGCGCCGGGGAGTCCCACCATTGAAGGGAGTTCAAGTCTCTGAAATGGAAGGAGAAGCCATGTAATTCTCTGGCATGGAGGTATGCCCATGGCACAATTTGCACGCAGGACACCGTCTTCCCCAGTAGCTGTGATACGGAGGCCAATGTGATTACTCTGGCCCTTAGGATCCGACATACAAGAGTCTGAATAGAGTTCCTTCGGTCCTGAGATAGGTAGACCGTACAATTGTCCGTGTCTATAACAGCGCCCAAATGGAGGAGCTGGGTTGTTGTATGACTTTTCTGGAAATTAACAGAAAACCCGTGCTCCTGAAAGACCTTGATGGCTAGGGCGAGGTCTGACTGAGCGTTTCGGAATGATGATGACTGAATTAGTATGTCATCTAAATAGCATTGAATTCTGATTGGAATTTGTCTAAGGTGGGCTGCGAGCACTGCCAGTACCTTGTAAATACCTTCGGTGTCGATGAGAGGCCAAATGGTAGGGCTCTGTACTGGTAATGGGCATAGCTGAATCTGAGGAATTTGCGGTGGTTAGGAAACATGTCTCAGTTAGGTCTATTGAGGTAAGAAAGTCACCTTGCCTGATGCTGGCCAGGATTGATTGAAGTGGTTGCATCTTAAACTTCTTATACCTCAAGTAAGATTTAGACCTTTCAAGTCTAAGATTTCCCTCCAGCCCCCCAAGTCTTAGGGATGACGATGAGGTTTGAGTAAAACCTTCGTCCTTCTTGGTCTTGTGTACTGGTTCAATTGCTCGTATTTGTAATAAATGAGCTATGGCATCTGACATAAAGTCAGCCCTGGACCTGCTCGTTGGGATAGGGCAAGAGCGGAATTGTCAGGTGGTTGAGAACAATTTCTAGTCTCAAACCCTGTTGACAGTGTCTAACACCCATGCATCTGTAGTGATGGCTGTCCAAGTGCTGGAATAAGGGACCAGCCGGCATCTGTAGTGGTGACTGCCCAAGTGCTGGAATAAGGGGCCAGCTGGCTTCCTATGGGAAGTGAGACTGTGAGGTCACTTGCCTCGTTCAGAGGAACGGCCCCTCGGTCTTGAAGGGGCCGCTTGGCCTGGATCTGTGGTCTGCTTCTGCATGCTGAACGATCCTGCTGTCGTTCTTGTCTCTGAAAGGAATAGAGGGATGCCTGGGCCCAGTCCCAGGATGGAGCTGGTCGAAAGGCAGCCTCCTGTAACTGCTCTGTGACATGAGTTAACCAGAGTTTTACGTTTGTCCTTACCTTCAGTTAAGTATGGTCCTAGTGCCTTACCAAAGAGATGTCCACCTGTGTAAGGTTTAGAGGCCAGACGCCACTTGGTCTTGGTGTCTGCTCGCCAATTCCTGGGCCAAAGGAACCTTCGTGCTGAGATGTCTGCAGCGATGGTCTGGCAGTGTATCTAGCCATGTGCAGAGAAGCGTCGGCTAGGTACTGGGATGTAGCCACTAACTTACCCAGATTTTGGTGAGCTCTGAGCTGGTCTGGAGGGATCCTGTCCTGGAGCTCATGTAACCCAAGGGCTGAAGCCCTAGCGAAGAAGGCCATGGACGTTGCCGCCCTTGTTGCCCAGGCTGATGCCAGATGGGAACTACGCAATGCGGAGTCAATCTTTTTATCCTCCGCCCTAAGTGCCTCATTTATGTCCCCAGGGATGTTAACATTGGGAGACAATGAGTTCAAGGCTCATCAATCTCAGGAATCTCCAATAGGGAGGCCAGGGAACGGGCAACATTGAATAATGTTCTCTCTACTGCACCGGGGCTTAAGAAGGATCCTAAGTTCTCCCATTGTTCTTGAACTATATTCAGAAAAAGGGGAGGGCAGGGAATATTGTTCTGCGAGACTGAGGGCTTGGTGTATATGGCGTGGGGACCCCTGGAGGTGGGGTCTCCTGTTCTTGGGGGAGGTTTGCACTAGTGCAGGCCCTGAGTAGCAGGGAATTAAAGAATGAATGGTCAAAGAGACCGACAGGAGGGGTGGGGTCAGAGGGAGTGATGCCCTCGTCCTCAAACAAAATCAGGCCAGATTGTTCAGCCCCTGTAGATTCCAAATCCGATGAGGGATCCTCCATCAAATCTGGAGATTGTGGATGATACGTGGCCTGGGGGGGTGTCTGTGGTGTTGGAGGCCATAAATTGAGCCACAGCCTGGGCTATCATGGACTGGAGGAGGTTTGGGTTCAGGGCCTGGTTCTCAGGAGGGCGAAGTCCTGCTGCAGTGGGAGTGAATGTGGCCTGGGGCCCTGAGGTGTCCTGACCGGTTATACCCCTCCCTGAAGCCACTGTTAGGTTTGAATCTGACTCAGGAATTCCCCTGGGGGGAGACCAGGCCCCTGGGGCTGAGGCACTGTACGAAGAAAGGGGCTCCAAAATAGACCTTCCCATCGTGTCTGTCAGATCTGGGGAGGCCGCTCTCAGTCTTTGGCACCCTTCCTCCCTCTGTGGCTCCCTGCTTGGCCGGGCTCGCTTGGTGGTGCTCTTACCACTTGCCTCTGATTGGCGACTCCTCTTGGCTGGCTCGCTGCCTTTCTCTGCCATGATGAGTTGCTCTGGTCTCAACCTTGGCAAAATGCCCCCCTCGGCGCTGTACTTCACCAAGGGAGTCTACAGAGATACTTCAGCCCAAGAGGGGGATGGGCGGGGAGTTAATGGGCACCCCGATCACTTGGGATCGATCCGGCCCTCCCCGGTCGAACCTGCTCTCTCGACGATCCTGCCACCGATGATGTAATACTGCCTTCAGAAGAAAGTTCCAGGCAGTCTGGCCTCAGCCACACACAAAATGGCCACCAATGACTTCAGGCACACTCAAAATGGCCGCCGAGGCTTCAGCCCCACACAAAATGGCCGCCGGTGACTTCAGCCACCCACAAAATGGCCGCCAGTGACTTCAGTCACACTCAAAATGGCCGCCGAGGCTTCAGCCCCACACAAAATGGCCGCCGGCGACTTCAGCCACCCACAAAATGGCCGCCAGTGACTTCCGCCACTCACAAAATGGCCACCGAGGGCCTCAACCACATACAAAATGGCCGCCGGGGGCTTCAGCCACACCCAAAATGGCTGCTGGGAGGCAATTCAAAATGGCGGCCGCCAATTTCGCGCCCTAAAAAACGGCCGTTGGAAGAAGGCCTTGAGGCCTAGGGTCTAAGCTGCAACGAGCCCTCGTTCAGGTGAATCGCCTGGGCTCCTAAAGCAGCTGGTGGCATGTGATTAGGCCGGCTGGAAAAGCTGTCGTCCAAGGCCTGACAGGCCCTCCCGGCTCCGAAAATTGGGAGAAGGCCTTGAGGCCTAGGGTCTAAGCTGCAACGAGCCCTCGTTCAGGTGAATTGCCTGGGCTCCTAAAGCAGCTGGTGGCATGTGATTAGGCCGGCTGGAAAAGCTGTCGTCCAAGGCCTGACAGGCCCTCCCGGCTCCGAAAATTGGGCCGCGCCCAAATTCTCACCTGCTGCTCTCTGCTGGGGCCGAGGGACCTGGGAAGGCTCCCTCCAGGCTTGATGAGGCTCTGAAAACGACCTAAATCAAAGGTTTGATCTTGCTGTCCCTAACTGAGGAAAACAAAGAAGGGAAAAGTTTCCCCCCCCCCAGAGGGAGAGGATTGTGAGTCTGTCAGCCTGAATAGGCTTCAGACTGGGATAATTGATCTTTCTTCTAGATATAATCGATTCTGAATCAATAATAAAATAACAAATAATAATAATAGCCTGAGCTAAGTAATTAAATAGAATTAAACAGTCTTCTGCTCCAGGAGCGAAGACAAAACGCGTCTTGGGGCAAAGAGACTAAGTCTAAAACTGGGGTGCAGTTGGCACAGAGGGGGCGGTACTAAATTTCAGACTTAGTCTAATTGGAGCAGATAGATTAAGACAACCCATCCGTGGGTTCTCCATCCAATCATGCTGGAGAACATACGCTTTCATGTATTATGAGTGTATGGTTTCCTACATGCTGTCCCCGACTCTCATTATTGTTTTGGGCTACTCTCACTTATCTCTCTGTTTCATATTCACATGTCCTTCCCTTAAGTATTACACTGAAGATTGAGATCCTTGCAAACAGCTCAAGTCCAATAGCCTCGCCATGAAGGCTGCATAATAATATCAGGACAGTGAGAAAGAATGGAAGGACTGAATATCTTCCAGTGGGTCTGAATCTCTTTGCATGTAAAACAGGCCAGAGTGTTTGGCTTAAGCCTTAGGAAGAACTGCAGGATTTAGATGCATCTATATCAACAGTCCAACCTTATAAATTATTCATTTGAGCTAACAGGGGTTTATTTTTCCTCCTGTGACTACTCAACCTGACATCTGGCTTTGCAATCTTGGAAATTAATGGTGAAGAGACTCTTTTAGGGATTGGTACAATGTTCCTTGGGGCATAATTCAAAGACCTTCGAAATCAAGTCCTAGTTTTGACTTTGAGTATGCTAGACACAAGGTATGCTTTACTGAAACAAATTCCTATCCTGCTTTTTGCCAAGCTAACTTGGTTTCCAGCTTTGCGATCTCTTCCTAGTCCCAACCTTCTCTGTCATATTGTACACCTTAATAGCATAATTCAGCTTAACAGTACTGGAACCTTGAGCATTCAAGAATTCAGATTTCTCAGGAAGAAGCTGCTTCTATACCAGGTAAAAAACAATGTGTGTTGTGTGTGTGTGTGTGTGAGAGAGAGAGAGAGAGAGAGAGAGAGAGAGAGAGAGAGAGAGAGAGAGAGAGAGAGAGAGAGAGAGAGAGAGAGAGTAGAGAGAGAGAGAGAGAGAGAGAGAGAGAGAGAGAGAGAGAGAGAGAGAGAGAGAGAGAGAGCAGTAAATCACCAACAGATCACTGGGGAGGGGAAAGAGGACACTTTATGGTTTTTCCAGGTTTGCTTCCATTTTTGCTTTCGGCAGTATCAGTGCTGGAGCTGAGAATGAATCACTATGCACAACTACTTCTATAATCTGTCAGCTCCAATGTAGATGGTAGATGGTAAGGAGAAAAACAGCTTCATACTGGTGCAGGTACTACTGTTATTCCAAGCCTATTATATAGCATTTAGGCTTATATACTGCCTCATAGTGCTTTACATCACTTTTTGGGCAGTTTACAAGGTATTTGTATATTGCCTCCAACTATCTGGGTCCTCATTTTACCAAGCATGGAAGGATGGAAGGCTGAATTAACCTTGAGACCCGTCAAGATCAAACTCCAGGCTGTGGGCAGAGTTTGCATGCAATACTGCACTTTAACCACTATGCCACTAGGGCTCCTGTTGCAATCTCATAATTTGACTAATATAATGGCATTTAATTGAGGGTGACAAAAACCATGAGCAATATATATTCCATTCTTATAAACATTCCAAAACTTCCTGACCTCACCACTGAGTTGTATGATTAACTGGAGTCTCTCTGCTATAAATATGTGTGATCCTGGGAAAGGATTTCCAAGAATCTATGCAGAATCTGGGATTCAACTACTGCTGATATGTATCTTTTTTGTTTTGTTTTGTTTTTATTTTTGGAATTTCTGGATGACTTGTTTTTCTAATAAAGCAATGCAACATGCATCTGTTGGATTTCTGATCAGCTACCAATGCCCCAGCAAACTTTTAAAAAACTGGTAACAGCTGTTTGAGAAAGGAACAGCTGCTTCCAAGATAAAACATTTAAAGTATTTTTTTGAAATGGAAAGAAAAGGGAGCCAAATGGTAGCCGCCAAGATCAGGTTTAGCTCCTCCTGAAACATTTTATAAAATAGTTTCACCCACCATATGCCAAAATACCAGCAACATTGCTAATTCACAACAAAAGAAGACAAAAAACTGGCAATTTCCCCTACAGTTAAGGCATCACATTCACTGGCAAGAAAAGCCGCCATACTGTATGTACATGCATACATGCAGTTGTGCATTATGTTGTGCCTAACTTAGCTAATGATCGCTCCATTTGCTTAATTTAAGGAAAATGGGGGAAATATAGGCTAAAAGACCTTTCTTTAATTATTGCCAGTTGTAGAGATTTAGCACACTAATGTTCCAATCTCTACTCCCTTGTGAATTGTCGCTTTTGGAGAAAATCTGAAAGTTTCCCTCTATTTTGGAAAAAAAGTACAGCAAACCTAACCACGTTTTGCACAGAACAGGGTGTTTTAGGAAACACCAACATCCTTAGCCGAAGAAGCATTTTAGTTTGCCTTAAAATTTTATATCTGATGAAACATTCCTGTCTTATATTACTCTAAGAGTTCTGCTATTTCTCAGTCTCTCTTTAGCTAAAGTTGGATCATAGCAATTTTCTTGGGTCATTGAAGAAAAAGAAGACATTAATGGAAGGCTGGACCAGCAGTGAAACTAGCTGCTTAGTGTGATTTCATATTACTAATTTCTCTCTTTCTCTTGAAACTCCCATGGCAGGAAGTTTTCCAGAGAAACGATACCCATCAATTAGGAACCTTGGATCAGTTACAATTGTGTGTTGCTATGCAAGAAACAGGTAAACAGAAATTAAAGTAGCAATAAGGTGGTTTTGCTTCTAGATGTCATGATTTATCTTTGATCCCCTAGTTAGATATTAAGTAGCAAATGCCTGAGCCCTTTAGTTTTTCAACAAAAATATCCTATAGCTGCCAAACCTTATAAATGAATGAATTGTATAAATGGTAGTGACTGTAACTCATTCACATAAGCTTTGAAAGCAAAAACCCTGGCTTCAGTCTTGGAATTAGCATTTAAAAAGCTCTCGGGTGACAGAGATGAGGGACAATCCTGTCAGAAAGAACTTTGTCCCTTAAATCCACCCCATTTCTGAAAAGAGAACCAAATTTCCGTCCCTCATCCACCAGTAAAATTGAGAGCAATATTTTTTGCTTTAGATGTCTATGAAGCTTAAAGTACTCTTTTCTATTTAATCTGCTCAACCATCCCTTTTCAAGAATGCCTTTGTGTGTTTTGGGATGCATGTCTTTCTTTGCTGCTCCTTGTATCATACCTGACACCTGGAATTAACCTCCATATAAAGCATATAAAGCATATATATACATCTAAAGCATACACACACACACACACACACACATATATACAGACACATAATACATGCGCACACACTCAGATACTTGCTATATATACACAACACCTCCTTTCTTCTTTTAATCTATCCTCAGTATATTGTATGCAATTAATGTTAACTCAATTTTGTTTTCTTTTTGAACTAGGGCCAAATAAATATATAAAAATCAGACTGAAACTTCTCTTGTATTGTCATGCCATCAGCCATATCCCCTCCAGCATTGGGACACCAAAACAATAAAGGATGACTCATAGTTCTTAAAAAATGACCTGGCCTATATAGTGGCACCCTATGTATGACTATTATGACATTGTATTCACTTACATTCTGGCCCTGGTCCCAGCCATGTCTTTCATCCCAACCTATCAGTTTAGGCAGTTTTAAGGATTACCTCTGTTGAGAAATACTGAACCATCTCAAGATTCTAACCTTTTTTTTTTTTTGGTAGTATTTTATTAATTTTCTAATTTTACATTTAAGTATTTAAAAAGTAACGTGGTGTCTGGGTTAATCGATAATTCAATAGCATACAAAAATCTTCAGTACAAATCTCAAATACCACATCAAATATTTCCTCTCTTTTTCCTTTAATATCTACTGTCTCATATTTGAACTAATACAGTTCTTATTATATCAATTGAGTAAAAATAGCATTATTATATTTATCAATAAATTTTAGCTTATACATATCCTAGTGGCTTTTACATTCAATCTTTATAGACAATCAATGTCCTGTTATTAGTTTTTCCCAATTTTTAGTTTCCCATCAATATTTAAATTTAACATTTAATATTTATAATTTCCAAGTTTTAAGTAACCAAAGTTTCCTTTATCTCAATTCATAACAAAGTCTAATATTCAAGATACACATCTTTTCTATTTAAGTATATTCTATTTCCCACCATCTTGCATCATCTAGTTAATAATACAATATAACATCCTTATTTTCAACTAATTTCCAAATGTCTTAAATTTAATGACCAAAATTTTCCTTATTTCAACATCAAATACTTCCTCTCTTTTCCCCTTAATATCTACTTTCTCATATTTAAGCGAATACAGTTCTTATTATATCAACTAAGTAAAAACATGCTTATTACATTTATCAATAAATTTTTAGCTTATACATATCTTAATTACTTTTATATTCAATCTTTTTTTTTTTTTATTGAAAGTTTTATAAATTTTACAAAAAAGGAAAAATAATACAAAACAAAAGGCAACATATACAGAAAAATAAAACTAAACAATACATATATTAAATAAAAAAAAAAAAACCCCATCCCCCAGCCCTCCCAAAAAAAAAAAAAAAAACAAAAAAACCCTCCCTTCCCCCCCCCCTGAGCTTCCCAGAGCAGAATATAGGCTTAAAAAATAAAAATAAAAATTAAATTAAAAACTTTATATTTATATATATAAAAAAATTATCTATAATATATATGAAAATAAAACTTATGAAAAAACTATATAATATTTTTGTATACCCAATCTAAATTGTATAAATTTTATCCATTTATCCCAAACAGCAAAAAACTTCTCTTGCGTTTGTTGCTTTAAGAAAGCCGAAATCTTTGCCATTTCTGCCAGATAAGCTACTTTAAGAAACCATTCCTGCAATGTAGGCAAAGATTCCTTCTTCCAGTATTGTCCTACTAACAGCCTAGCGGCTGTGATCAAGTTTAACATCAATACAACCTCCTTTGTATCACAATCTGTAACAATACCTAACAAAAATAATTGCGGAGTAAATTTTACCCTCCTTCTAAAAATTCTCTGGATATTCCACCATATTTTAATCCAAAATGCTTTTATCTCTCTGCATGACCACCAAATATGATAATAGGAAGCCTCCTTATAACCACATCTCCAACATTTGGGTTGCACGTCAGGATACATATAAGACATTTTTTGTGGATCAAGGTGCCATCTATAAAACATTTTATAAAAATTCTCCCTTAAGTTCTGTGCTTGAGTAAATTTGACATTTCTCACCCAAATAGTTTCCCAGGTGTCCAATGAAACTGGCTCACCAAAATTCTGCGCCCATCTAATCATACAATCTTTAATTAGTTCCGTTTCTGAGTCCAATTCAACTAAAACCCCATAAATTCTCTTAATGTGGGTTTGTCTTTGATCCTTCAGTTGCTTAATAAGATTTTCATCTTCTCTAAGAAAACCCACCTTACAATCCATCTTCCATCTATCTAATAGTTGCCTATATTGGAACCAAGAATAAGTAAAATTTTCTTGTGCTAACTCTTCCCGTGATTTTAATTGCCAGTTTTGTCCATCCCATTTAAGTAACTGTCTATAAGACACCATATCCATTTTAACCCCTCTTTTTATTCCTTCTATCGCATGCCAAGGTATAGCCCATAATGGTACTTTAAAATCACTTTTATAATATTTTCTCCAAATCCTAAGTAAAGAAATTCTTAAAATATGAGATTTAAAAGCCCAATCTATTTTTTTATTAAATATTAAATAGGCATGCCACCCATAAAGTAAATCCCATCCCTCTAAGTAAAGTATCTCAGAATTTGTCAAATTTACCCAATCACTAATTAATGTTAAAACCACCGCATCATAATATAATTTCAAATTTGGTACCTTAAGTCCACCCCTCTCACGGAAGTCTTGCATAATTTTAAACTTAACCCTTGGTTTTTTCCCTGCCCAAATAAATTTGTTGAGACCCTTCTGCCACTCATTTAAATTAATCTCATTTTTCAAAATTGGTAACATTTGAAACAAAAAAAGAAACTTGGGTAGAATATTCATTTTTATCACTGCAATTCTTCCCATGAGGGATAATTGCAACTTTTCCCAATTCTTCAAGTCCTTCTGTACCCTGACCCACAACCTTTCATAATTATTTTTAAATAATTTTGCATTAGAAACAGACAGCATCACCCCCAAATATTTTACCTTATTAACAATCTCAAAACCCGTCAAGTTGACCAAAATCTGCTTCTCCTGACTCGACATATTTTTAGGTAAAATTTTAGTCTTATTTACGTTAATCTTAAAACCCGAGACCAAACCATAATGATGAATCAACTGTAATAAGTTTACTACAGAATAATCAGGTTGCGACAAAGTAACAACCAAGTCATCCGCAAAAGCTCTCAACTTATATTCTTTTTTATTAACATATATTCCTTTAATTTCCTGAGACTCTCGAATTTTGATCAATAATATTTCCAATGTTAAAACAAACAACAATGGCGATAAAGGACACCCCTGTCTAGTACCTTTCTCTATTGTAAAAACCTCCGACAAACCTCCATTAACAATAAGTTGTGCCGTTTGTTTTTGATATATTACCGTAAGGGCTTGTAATATCTTTTCACCAAAATTCATTTCTTCCATTACTCTTAACATAAAATGCCAATTCAATTGATCAAATGCTTTTTCAGCATCTAAAAATATGAGCCCTGCAGGAACTTGGTTGTTCTTGTCTAAATATTCTAGTAAATTAATAATTTGTCTGACATTATTTTTCATATACCTTCCTGTTATAAATCCTGATTGATCTTTATGCACAAGATGATGCACCACCCTCATAAGCCTATTTACCAAAATTTTTACAAATATCTTATAATCCACATTTAAAAGAGATATAGGCCTGTAATTTTTTGGTAGGGTAAGATCTTGATCCTCCTTTGGAATCAATGATATAAAAGCACTACGCCATGAAGGAGGAATCTCTAAACCCTGTAAAATACCATTAAAAAGATCATGTAATGGTTGGATCATCTCCTCTATTAGAACTTTGTAATAAACAGCTGTTAACCCATCCGTACCCGGTGCTTTCCCTAATTTCAATTGTTGAATTGCTGAGGTAATTTCCTCCTTAGTAATTAAACCATTAATTTCATATTTCTGATCCTCAGTCAGTTTAGGAAAACTTGCCTCAGCTAAATATTTATTTATATCTAGCATTTGTATATTAGTAGATTTATATAGGTTTTGATAATAATCCAAAAAAGATTTTTTAATCAATTCCTTCTGAGAAACTAATTTACCCTTATAGTTTATTTTCTCTATTATTCTTTGTCTCTGTTTCTTTCTTAATTGATAAGCCAACCATCTCCCAGGCTTATTGGCATTACAAAATGTATTTTGTTTCATAAATAATAAGTTGGTTGCAGCTTGGTCTGCTATCAACATATTAAATTGTGACCTTAATAACTTTACAGATTCTTTAATACTCTCATCAGAAGGATTTAAAATCAAAGCCCTTTCTTTTAATTTAATTTCATCTTCAAGTTCTCTACGTTTCTGAATCTGATTTCGCTTATAAAAATTATTCATTTTTATCAAAACACCGCGCATAAATGCTTTACCTGCATCCCATACCATTGACATTGAAGTCCCCTTATACATATTCAAAGCAAAATAGTCCTTTAAACACTCCTTTAGTT